TGAATTATTCTCTGAGAAATCAAAGAAAATGCTGAAAATCCTCTGTGCCCATGTGAAAGAGACTTTCTACCAAAGTTTATTCAGTTAAGAAACAAAGGTGCAGCTGAAAACAGTCTGCAGATTTATTCTGACAGACTCGTTCAACAGCAGTAATCTCGAGGAGGACTTCACCGTGCAGGTCTGAGTGTCTGATACTAGGCCAGCCTGCATTATTCATCTTCCTAGCAGACAGATGATTCAGAGGAGCGTCCACTCAGCCACCTTCCAGAGTTTCCAGTGACACCGTTATTCAGTGAAGCCTGTTAACACGAAGCCTCAGCCTCCTGAGGTGCGGCACCGACTGTTGACTCAGATCAGGTGGATCACCGCGTGATACGTTATTGAAGTTAGATGCGGCTCGTCCAAAAAGGCACCCAGACACACTGCAGCACAAGACCAGAGACGTGTACGATACAGATAGACAAAGACCCCCCTTCAGCTTTGCGCTCCTGCAAGATCTCACTTTTAAGCAGCGATCTCTGGCTCTTCTCAGCCAGGAAATGAACTGTCAAAAAGCTCTAAGTGGCCTCATACTAACACCTGGACCCGGCTCCAAGTGCTCGAAGCAGAGACCAGATGCAGCTTCTGTAACTGCAGCCGGAGCTCGTCTCCTCTCTCTGCATCTGAGCGGCCCGACCGACTGCGTCATAAACCATCGTCTTTATTCTTTTAATTTACAGCCAAAGCCATGCTCTGTGGTTGAAAATAATGTCAGGGCTGCAGGCTCACACTGGAGTATATTTCAAAATGTCTGGCTTCTGTATGTGCTTAAATGCTGCTTTGAAAATACTCAGTGAGCTGGCAGATGCGTGCACGCTTGCCTCCCTCAGCAGCAGCCTTATAGCGTGTGTGCGTTATTTATGTGCATTACATAAATACGGTGGTTACTACAGATCCATTTCGTGCATTTGCGCTCCCCCCTTTGAAAGTGAACGCTGCTCGGACTCATCCATGAATTCATGCAACAAACCTACGTTGTCTGCATCCACCATCATTTTCACTGTGTTTTCTAAAAGCACCAGGAAGGGGACTCTTACCCCATGCATTGGTTTATGAAAAATAAAATGCATGTGTTCAGTTTGAATTTGCACATCACACTCTTGTTTGCTCGCATTTAAACATAAGAACGAGTGGAGCTCAAGATCCTTATCAACAAATAAGGAATAAAGATGTTTCTTTGTGTTTCCCTTGAAAAAAATGTCCCTCACATCGGTTCATGCGGAGTGCTCGGCTAAGAGGCCCTTGGAAAAGAAAGGCGGCCTTTCACTACTTCATCCCTCTTTCGCTCCCTCTCCTTTATTCCCACTTGTGAAGTGTCACTTTGCTATCGCTCCTCTGGGCCTGATTGTCGGGGGTCAGAGGAACTTGAGGGATCAATGGGGGAGAGAACAGGGTGAAGAGTGGAGTGGAGTGTTTTAATGTAAAGGAGGGAGTTGCCGATAGCGAACGGAAGAGCTTATTTGTTTGATTTTTTCCTCCTGGTTTAGTCAGAAAAGGTTCAGTCCTCCTCTACTTAGAGCGACACTAAGTGCTGTTTAGTGCATCTTGTTGTTTCAGGTGGTGTCGCCTCCCAAGGGGAGATAACGATTGCTCGAGGGTCCTCAAACCTCAGAAACCAGACATCTTCAGCTTTAAACGCCCGTGAGGTTAAAGCTGCACCCTCCCTTCAAACGAAGATACAGAATGCCCTCTGATTTGTCTGTATTCAAATAAACAAACCCTCATTTGCGATTCAAATCCTTTCAACATCCAGACATGTGAGACAATTGACGAACCTTTTGTATCAAACAGGAAATCGACAGGCACGCGCCGAGTGCTTTTTCTCTCTTTTGTCTGTGAGCAAACTAGACATTTTGTCAACTGCTCAGCGGCAGCCCGTTATCATCAGATCAAACGTGACAGGAGCATCAGACAGAAATAACCCTTTTCCTGCCTGCCATTTATCTCCAGCAGGACGAGGGCTCTTTAAAACGCAGGCCAAAGGGCCACTCCGCCCGGCCCCCGTTTGATGCCGTCATGTGACGAGGGGCCTCTGCTGTGCGTCTTATCACTGTTTTTCTCTTTCAACTGGAAAATATTCTGAATGGACAAAGGTGCAGGGGGGAAAAAAGTGCACGGATTACGAATCTTAAAAGTACGAGCAAGTGAGGAGGCTGTTTTCTGTCGTTACATTTGAGGTCAAGTTAGTTATTTACAGTTTTTGCTGTTGCTGCTTCCCACACATACAGGTTGGAGGAGTTCTCTGGTATCCAGGGGGGGGGCAGGGTGGATGTTTACAGGGCAATTTTGGCACAGGTTCCCCTCAGGATCTCTCCAAAAGGCTTTTCTCTCTTGAGTTTGAGAGGGACGGAAAAGTGCTCCACTCAACCCTCGATGAGCACCCCCTTCCTCCTCCATCCTCCGCCCTCCACCCTCTGCCCCCGTCCCCGCCTCCTCTGCCCTGACCGCTGCCCTGCTCACCCCTGCGCTCAGGGACAATGGCTTACTTTCAAAGAAAAGCAGGAAAAAAGAGGAGCGCGGTGTCACAGAATTGCCTGTTTGCTGACGGAATCTTTAAAAGCAGCACCTCATAAATCAAAATGGAGCATAATGGGCATTGTTTCTCCTAGAGCCACTTCTCCCACTAAAATCCCCCTCCTCTCTTTTCTCTCTCTTCCCTCTCTTTTCCCTCTTCCTGCCTTTTTGGCTGGAGCACAGTCAGAGGTGGAGATTTTTTATTAGGGGGGCCTCTTCTTGCAGATTCCCTCTCTCTCAGTTCTCTGCACCACTTGTTTTCTCCCTCGCTGTCCAACCATCCCCTTGTTTTATGCGTTCTTTTTTAAAACAAGGATTCCACGAGCTCGGATCAGCATAATCTATCACTGTGCACATTGTAACTCGGGCCTCCTCCCTATCTGCGTGCTCCATTGTCATGTTGAAATCGGATTAGATGGGAAGCCATTTGCCTCCTCGGTGTCGGCTCCGGACTCTTTGTGCGTGTTAGCGCGAGGAATGACAAGAAGCTCGCAGCCGGTATCGCCATTGTGCGCGGATAAAATGACGAATGGCGCGCGGTTTAGTTGGAGCGTGTTCGGTTTGTGTTCCTTGAAGACATTCAAGAGATGCTGCATAAACAGTTTTGAATGTGCGTGTGCTCCTGATGCGCTGTTTGCATTTGCGTCTCCAGACATGGTTTGCTGGCAGGAAGATCTGTCATGCTCTTGCATAAAACCACATTCTGTATCTGTTTTGATTTCAATAGGCTATTAATGAGGTTTGGGAAACGGCCTCTTTTCCTCTGTCTACTCTGCGCCTGCTGATGTGCAAGCAATCAAGAAGATATTATCATAATTAGATCACTGGCTCTGCATTAGGATTACACAAATCAGCCAACACCATTTCCATCAGGCATTTTATTGGTTACCTTAACGCTGGTGCATGTTCTCTCTGCCTCTCACACGTTCCCTCTTTCTTGCACACAAATACGTGCATTGATGGAGAGACGGTGTTCCATGAATTAGCCATGAGCTGGACGGACATGAACTAGATTCCCGGCTTTCAGAGAATATTTCTGAGGAGCGGCTGAAGCTCAGGGGAAGAATTGAACGTTACAGACTGGTGACGGTACAGAATGTGTCAGTTGTCGTTACCTTTATCAGTTTGTAAATACACAGTATTTGAATGGGATCCGGTACAATAGAAGTGTCCACACAATGGTGTATCAGTGCTCGAACAACAAAGGTACGGTTTAGGGTAGAACATGAGTGTTATCTGTGAGAGCGGCTTCACCCTGATCAGTGTCCTCGGTTATCTCTGCCTTCCATTGTTTTTTCCAACTTTAGTGCTTGAAAGTGCTTATCTGCTGTTTTCCCTGAAGAGTCAGTAGTCATCTTTTTTTTTTCTGTCCGTCCCATCCATCCAGCCCCAGAAACACATCAGATCCCACGTGCATCACACTTCCAGCTATATTATACTTCCTTTCCTGGTGCAGGAGCTGCCCCAGCCCCCCCCACCCCCCACCCCCACCCCAACGTCAGTCAAACCACTCTTATCGCCTCCACGATAATCTAGACGCTGCGGTTGGCCACCAATTTTGAAATCCAATACCCAGAGAGCAGCGCGCATTTACTTTCCCTTCAAAACCATTTGTTCTCAAGTGCTGCTTGATTATACGTCTGCATGTAACATATCTGAGCGAGGACCATCAGCCAACCCTCACCAAAAAAAAAAAAAAAAGCCAAACCCGCTCTTGTCAGAAAACAGATTCTCTTTCTGAAACATGCCTCATCATCTTTCAGCATCATAGCACTTTCGATTTTTCGCAGATCGGAGGGCGGGGCACCGTGGCACGGCTATGCCGAGTCAGCGAGGCAGTGTGTGTGTGTGTGTGTGTGTGTGTGTGTGTGTGTCTGTGTGTGTGTGTTCCAATGGTATAAAGAGGGAAGTGGATTTTGAGTCCGACCACTTTGAAACATTACATCCAGCATTTTAAGAAAGATGAGCTCAACAACAGTATTCATACTTACCGAAAGCTAAAATCATAAAATATGCATAATTAGAATAATCCACAATGAAAATGATTAAGGGGAAGCAGAAGAGTGGTGCAGCTGCAAACAGAAGAAGGGGGAATTCTGGAGTCTGAGGTGGGAAAACCCGGCTCCTAATTCCTAATATGGTTAAATGCAGGGTTGCTTGTGTTTGGAAATTCCTGTAAATGTTTCCCCCATGTTTGATTGTGCTGTAAATAAGGGTTTTCTGTTTTCTGTCAGTGGTGAGATATCATATGAGTGAGTGAGCTTGTTGATGTTGGAGAGCTGCCTGCACTAATAGGTTTTCAAGCCCTATAATAAGGCCAAACACAGCCAGTGAGTCAATGAGTACAGAGAACGCAGCACACTCCATCAGCTTGATCACATTATGTAAGATCTCGCTCCACCATACCCTTCTCCTCACCTCCGTTTTGTCCTTTTTCCTCTCTCCAGGGAGCTGATGCCCAAGACTCTGGAGGGCCAGATCACCATGGAGAAAACCCCCAGCTACTTTGTGACCAGAGARGYTCCCGCCCGGATCTCCGCCATGTCCCGGGACACCAAGCTGATCGTGGTGGTGAGGGACCCCGTCACCAGGGCTATCTCAGACTACACACAGACACTGTCCAAGAAGCCGGACATTCCCTCCTTCGAGAGCCTCACCTTCAAAAACAGGACTACGGGGCTCATCGACACCTCGTGGAGCGCCATCCAGATCGGCATCTACGCCAAGCACCTGGACAACTGGCTGCAGTACTTCCCCATGGACCAGATCCTGTTTGTGAGCGGCGAGCGTCTGATCAGCGACCCGGCCGGAGAGCTGGGCCGCGTGCAGGACTTCCTGGGGCTCAAGCGGATCATCACGGACAAACACTTTTACTTCAACCAGACCAAGGGTTTCCCGTGCCTCAAGAAGGCAGAGGGCAGCAGCAAGCCCCACTGCCTGGGAAAAACCAAAGGGAGGACCCATCCGAACATTGACCCCGAGGTGGTGCAGAGGCTCCGGGACTTCTACAGGCCCTTCAACATGAAGTTCTACCAGATGACGGGACACAACTTTGGTTGGGATTGATGTGAAGGTTCTGAGAGACTTTGTTGGATTTGTTGAGAAGTTTTTTTTTTTTTTTTCTTCTGTAATTCAATGGCAAGATGTGGAAATATTGCTATATATATGTAAAATGTACAGAAATCTATTTTATAATAATTTATTTTTATTTCTAAGCAATTAATTCACTAAGCTGCCTAACCATATTTGTACATAACATCTGACCCATGTTGTTCAACATTCCTCATATTGATTTGGAGTTCTCTCGCTCCTCGTCCTGTAAACTCAGTGGATTTACTGGTGCTTCATTACGAAGACTATGAGCGACACCTGGAGAAGAAACTGGGGTGGAACGTGTAAAAGCACCATATTACGGGTACAGAGTGGAGAACACATATCCATTGTGCGTCCTCATTTATAAATGCATCACAACTTCATCTCGTTCGAACCCTGTCGCTCTGAGTGCGATTCTTCTACAAGGTGTTTCACGAAGGCTACATCCATACGACCACGCTTCCGTTTTGAAAACCTAAATGGAAACGTGCGGCCTCCACGTCGCTCTGGAGTTTTAGAACCGTTAAAATGTTTGGAGATGGTCCTGTTTTAGTTTGAAAACACATGTTCACGCTTCGTTTTAGTCTGAATGCGTAGAAATATTTGGAAACACTGACGCTCACAAACGCTTGATGATTGGATCTTAGCCTTTGCTGATTCGTCAGGTTCCTATCACATGACAGCATGAGCCTCAGATAGATTTTACAAAGCTGCAACCGCTTCCGCGTGTAGAAGACGAGCCCAGTGTACGTGAGTGGTCACGTGATATGCATTTTCAATTTCAGGATGAAAGGGGATTCAAATTGATCAGAACCAAAATACTTTGAAATCAACATTTTCAGTCGTATGTCTGTAGCCTAAAATACAGAACTTCCACTGTTTTTACCACAAAATCTTTGTTTGGCTTCGGCCTGAGCTGCAGATCTCAGTCCTCTCAGTCACAGGTAGATCAATAGACCTAATTGATCCTCATTGTGTCACTCATACTTTAAGTACACAGCCGCCCTTTCATCCTCGGTGCTCCTGCTGCCTGCTTTAATGAATGACCCATCCATCAAACGTTAAATCCCATCCCGGACCACGTCAGTGCCCATGTTAACATTATGCTAATTGCGTAAAGGTAACTGGAAGATCAATTGAGCCCCCCCCCCCCTCCCCCTCCGCTCTCCGACTCCCCCATTAGGAGCATTGTTGACTCAGAGCCAGAATCCTGCTCTATCTGTCCGGTTCAAAGGTCACGGAAAGTCTCAATCAAATTTCCTTGAGGGCCGTTTGATTTGTTGTGGAGAGCACAGCGGGCAAAGGAAGGGGCTGGTGTGTGTGTGTGTGTGTTGAGGGGAGGAGTAGGTGTATGTGCCTTGTTTTTTCACGGTGAGATGGAAAATCTTTGCGTGAGGCAGCCGAGGCGCATCTCTCCGAAATGGAGCTTGAAGATGGAAAAGATGACAGACGGACGGCTTCACCTCAGCGAGTCGATCCACCGGGCCCCGTCTCAGATCTCCAAACCGAGGAGATCAAAGTGAGAGGAAAGGGTTTTTTAGTGAAGCAAGAATCGCCTCAGGCGCAGGTTTCGTTGTCTAACCTCTCCGGTGCCGACGTCTGCCGCCGATATACTTTACGCCTTACTCACCGTCATCATCCTCACTCGCTGCATCCCTCCACCACTGATCTCACCTCCCAATTGTTGCCAAAACCCCCCCCCACCCAAAAAAAACACCTTTGGGTTGATATCATGTTTCCACCCCCCTCTCCTCCCCTCCCCATTGCCACCACCCCCACCATCGCTTCTGTGTTTTTGTCTTTCTGCTTGAATTCTTGATATGCAAGAGGGAGAGCAAAAAAAAAAAAAAAAAGAAAGAATAAGATATCGTTCTTTGAAGTGCTGCTCCGTCTCACTGCAGCGGGTGGCACGCTATTCCGGGAGAACGAGCTACGCTGCGCTATGCACGCTCCATGTGGCGGCCTTGATGAAAATGCAGGGAACACGGGAAGGGATTATTAGGCGTCATGTGCTTAAGACTGAATGTACACAACCTGTCCTCATGCAGGAGACTCCCTGAAATCAGTGTCACGTGTCAGATTGTCCCTCAGCTTTAGTTAAGTTTGACGGTGCGTCTTTCCTTTTCAAGTCAAGGGAACGTTGTGCCTCTTTAACGCCCCGAATCAACACAGCCACCCGGCTCCTGTCATCAAAACACACAATGACCTTCAACCTTCATGTTGGAACCAGCCGCCTGGTTCAGCCTCAGAGCAGCGGTGGAAGGGGAGATGGAGGCTCGTGACACTGTATTTTTTTAGTGGTGCCGTACTTCTTTCACTCTGCCTGTGCAACTATTCTTAAGAATTTTAAGCCTTCGCCCCCCCCCCCCATTAGTGCAATGTTTGATTATTAAAAAAAAAGAAGCATTTATGCTGTTGCATTTCAGAAGGAAAGTAACCGGTGAAGTTCTGCATTTGAATTTGGGTCAGGTTCATGTAACTGTAATATCTGAGAGTCAAATAAAGAACCTGCACTCATGGGTTTACTCCACGTTGCTGCATCTGTTACGGTTGAGTTTTATTCAACCTGTTTTGAGAACTAAGGCGTTAGAAATGTTCGTCTCACCCACATATAGTATGTATTTAGACTAGCAGATCTGTATGTACAGAGAAAGACATGTAAATCAAGTATTTTGTGGTATGTACAACAAAGGAATTAATTTTACACAATGCAAAGCAGAATGGAACAGATGTTTCTAGATGATTAAATACTGAACATTCATAATATTTCTTTGTATGAAGAAATAAATAAAAAGTATATATTTTACCAAAAACCTTGTGTGCCTTTGTTGATTCTTTTTGCAGAGTTTTATCCCTTAAATGGCAAATTACACAATCAAATGAACAAAACCTCGGTTTAGATTTCATGGATTGAGAATTTCAAATAAAAGCTGTGAAAATAGATGAACGGAGAAATACACATTAACAAGATGCTGAGCTGAAATTTAACACACACACAGTAACATTAATAACTTTCATCTCCTCACAGTATGAGCCATGATCAGGAACAAGATGTGAAGTTATAGAATAACGAAAGCAACAATTACAACTAATAAACTTTAGATTACTGTGTTCTGTTATTATAGAGTGTGGACAGTTCAGGGATGATAGGAAATATGAGCGTCTGTCACTCGATCTTCGTGAAACCTTGCTGTTGAAAATATCCCTGCACTAATTTGAATTACACACCCAAAGTATTTCTAAAGCTACAATTTTTTAAACATTACCAAATATTTTTACCAACATATTTTTTGACATATGCTCAAATTATAACTTTCACACATGGACACAAAACTATAAAAAAAACTTTTTTTTTAAAGTTTCCTACACTTCCTGAAGTAAACAGAGGAAAACAGGTCTTTGTTGTAATTTAGGTGAAATGACCCTTTAATGTGGTGAAGATCACGTGATCAATCAGCTGCTCCATTCAGACAGGAAGTGGAATAACATGGCTGCTGCTGCTGCTGTGGACTTTTACACAGAAACTGATTAAAGGACTTCAGGATGAACCTGTGGACGCTTCCCTTCCAGCAGGAAGTCATGAGACCTCGGTCAGGTGAGGGCCGCCATGTGTTTTTTGAATTTGATTCTTGGTTTAGCTGGTGTTTGTGTTTGAGCAGTGATTTGGCTGCTGCTCCAGAGTGAAACTCATTTTTTAAACTTTACAAGTCTGAGGTCGATCAATCATGTGTCATATCTCCTCACCGTGCTCCCACAATGCATCATTCAGTGAATAATGAGCCGTAAAACTTTCCAGAATCTAAACACTTTGCCTGTTTTTGTCTGCTTCACACTGACAGTTCATATAAAATGTAATCAAATCCATTCTCGTGTTAAATCCATGGTAAGGGATTCTGTGTGACGTGCACAGCTGGCCTTCAGGATTTCTGTCTCTTTGTGTTTTTCCTCCTCCTCGGCCTTCCTCCTTGGTTCTGTGCGGTCTCAGGTGACCAGTAGCTGTGTGGGAGGTTGGGTTTCTGGTGCCCGTCGGAAATGCCCCCTCCCTTCACCCACACCCTCGCTCCCTGTAAAAGCGGCCAATGTTTCCTCTAGCTCATAATGAGATACACCTCCAGGGCTGTTTATTTACAAGGCTCTGATTCACCGCTGTGTATTAACAGGACGCTCATTCACAATATCAGAGGTGATGTGTTTACAGACCTGACTGTGGACGGCGATGTTGACATCCGGAGCGATTGTGGGATTTTTGCCGTGCATATGCTGCCTTATAGCTAAACATCACAGCTAATATCAAGTTGTAACCTACGGTGCTGAGCCCACATCCTGTTTGCTGCAGTTCTATGTTTATAGACGCACAACTCTCTAGATTTCAGAAAAGGATTAAACATCTTAAAATGTGCTCGTTTCCAATAAAATGTCCTCAAACCTGCAACTAAACCAGTGACGTGAAGTTAAGAAGTGATTCAGCTACAACTATGGAATTCAAAAATCTAATTCGAATCCTAATATTGCTGATTTAACATTCTCTAGAGTCAGTAATTGTAAAGCTGATACTTGACAGTATTTTTATTGGGCCGGATAAAGCAGCAGACGCTTGGGACTGATCTCGATTTCTTGAGTTAAAACAGGCTCTGAATCGTCGCCTCCTCTTTGCGCTCTCTGGGGAACCCACGCTCTATGTGTTGACTGACACTTCCTGCTGCTTGTTTGTGCGTTTTCGTGTCAGGTTGTGTAAACAAAACCAACAGAAGTGTAAAGAAGAGCTGAATAACTTCAACGTATGCAACAAGTATCTCTGTTCGTCCGAATTCATGTATTTATCGGGGCAGGATCAGATGGAATTAACTTTTTTAATCATCCCTCGTGTAATTGCTGAACAAATATGTTTGTTCATGATTCCGAGCCCCTGAGGGAGATGTGGTGTGATGAGAGGAACAGAAATCCCCACGGTCTGCACGTTGTGATGTCGCGGCAAATAAAAAAAAAAGTGGGTAAACTTTTTCCCTGCTGTCAGTCACAGAAACAATCCTAAGGGAGTAAAACACATAGTATAGAGTCAAATAAAAAGGATACGTATATCTGCAAAGGAATGAATTAACAACATTTCTATAAAAACCAACTTTCCTCATAACGAGTTGGGTTGGTTTTCTGTATCGAGATCCATCTAAGGCTAAAAACCAGCAGCTGGTGATGTGACAGTAACATTGTATGTACGCCAACATGCCAACTGTGTTTACACAAAGAATGAAGTCTGCCACAACAGGCGCTGATGATGTCCAAACAAGGACACAGATGCGAGTGAAACACGGCCAGTTGGAAAGCTAGGCTAATACCGTGCGTGTGTGTGTGTGTGCGTGCATATGTGTGTGTGTGTGTGTGTGTGTGTGTGTGTGTGTGTATGGGGCGGGGGGGGGGCACTGCGTCTCCACGAAGCCACTTAACCTCAGTGGAAAATGTGTCGTTCAAAGTAAACAGCGCTACGTGTTACAGCACAATGTGCAACAGAGCCATCAGGATCCTTTGAAGCAAAGCGTGTGTGTGTTTTCAGTCCACACACACACACACACACACACACACACACACACACACACACACACACACACACACACACACACACACAGATAGTGACTTGCTCTCCATCAGAGATCATCATTGCTGATATTTACAGGTCTGGAGCTGGATAATTGCTCAGCTGGAGCACTGACAGACAAACCGGGGAGGAAGACAAACAGGATGTGGTGTGATGATGGGGAGGGGTGGAGGAGGGGTCTGCGAGCTTGGCATGTTGAAGTGGAGCATGTTCTCTTGGCACCCAGCATGCCGCCCCCCCCCTCCCCCGCCCCCTGAATCCATGCCACCTGTATTAACTGGTGACTAACCTGATTAACCTGTTCATAGATGGGACAGATACCGGAATGATAGATTTCTGGGCCGGCAGCCAAGCGAGCCATCTTGAAGGAAATGGTTTGTGTAATTAACGGAGGAGCTCGGCGGAGTGACAGGGGGTAATTGTAGCGTTGGCAGATGATGTCTTATTGTCATCGCCGGTGCTGTCATGGGTACAGGTGGCTGCTGCTTTGCGACGTGGACAGACACCTGGCAGCGCTAGACACGCGAACCCTGTATCGACTCTTAGCGTTCACCGCCTCCTCCCCTCCTGATGCAAACTCCTCCTCCCATCCCTCGACACGGGGGCATTAAAAATTTAGCCGTCTACCCTGCTCTTCGTTTTGAGCTCAACATGGAGCTCTCTTCAAGAAGGAAATGGTGGAGAGCTTCACGAGTGAGCTTTCTGAACCTGAACCTGTTCACCTTCAGATGTTTGAATATATATTCGGAAGGCCTGGGAGTTTTATTAATTTAAGACGAACGCAGCAGGAGATTGTCGGAGTCAAACAAACACAAAAAGCTCTTGAACGTTGTTGCATTTTCAACCTGACGTCATTATCAGCATCATCTATTTTTCATCCTGAGATATTTTTATTCTGTGTTCGTTGCATGTTAGAAATGTCATCAAGATGGCAACAGGACATTTTCCTGCTCTGCTCTCACATGGGCTCATTTTCCAGACATTTAAACCCGGGGAAAATATCCAGAGCAACTGATTCTTTACCTGTTTTGAGTAATTTATCTTCGGGGTTAATTATATTTGACATTTCTGAAACGACATGTGAACGGTGCAGCTGTTCGTGCTGCAGGACTGAGGTGAACGAGTTCTGCTGTTGTTTTCATTGTAGGTAACATATTCATTTATTGTTAGCGTGCTGCCTCTCTGTATTATTCAAGAGAGGATTCACAGACTGAATCAACATTATCCTTTTTTATCGTGGATATTCGACGGGGTCAGGGAAACTGACACGAGGATAAATAACGTTCCTCAAAAAAATAGAAGTAGGATGCAATAAATCTAGACGTGCGTGTGTATATGTGTGTCATTGGAATTAGATGAGAAAGGAAGATAAAGAGGAGTTTGAGCACATCTCAAAAAGGCAGGAATTCCCCACAGTCTACAAAACAGCAGCAGACATCAAAACATGAACTACTGCCACACGGGGAAATACATTAAGTCAGTTTTCAGAGGAATTGGAGCATTTTTTAACCGGATACTGAACTTAAATCTGAATTTAGATCATAAAGACACATGAAAGGTTTTACTAAATCGATTTCAAGAGGATGTAAAGTCCACAATGCCTAATATAGCCCCTGCCGTACATCTGGGGGCCTCATTGGATCACCCTCTCCTCCCCTCACCCTGTCTCCCTCCTCCCCTCACCCTGTTTCCTCTGTCTGACACATGTCAGACATGCTGCGACAGGCTAAGCCCCAGAGATGTTGCGGCGAGAGGAAACACGGGGATCAAGAGGGAGTCTATCTTATCACCGCAGGTATAAAAGGAGATTAGTCGTCACACCTGAGGAGAGGCCCGTGCTGGTTTACACGGGGGGGTGCAACGATCGGTTAAACAAAAGTGCTGCGGCAGCCGAGCTCTGCACAGCTGCTCTATCAGTTCAGTCAATT